CAAGTTGATTGACAAACACATTGACTTACCCGTGTTTGAAATATATTTTTGTTGTCTCACATACTGAGTTCCGAGTTCTGGGACCCCCGAACCCCGAAACCCGAGACCCGGCAGTCCACAATTTCGGGGTTCGGGGGTTGGTAAATCTCGGTTTGGGGTTTTGCACTGAAAATTTGACATTTATACATATCTAGGCTCACCCATATATGTACCCATCTATGTACAATTCCCCCACATCAGCCCACCCATCTATGTATTATCCCCCACGTCGGCCCACCCGTCTATGTAATACATCCTATGTTGGCCCACCCGTCTATATAATTATACCCCACCTCGGCCCACCTGTCTATGTAATAAATATTTTATCACACCCTCGGCCCACCCGTCTATTTGATATCCCTTTCGTCGGCCCACCCGTATATGTAATACTTTTTATGTCGGCCCACCTGTATATGTAATACACCCCGCGTCAGCCCACCCATCTATGTAATATTCCCCTACCTCAGCCCACCCATATATGTAATACACCCCCGTCGGCCCGCCCGTCTATATAACAATATTTGCCTTACATCTCTCTTCAGCCCAGCTGTCTATAATATCCTACTCTACATATTACCCTGATGGGCCCACCCATCTCCATGAATGATCATATTCCCCCGGCCCATCCGTCAACATCAAGGATATATATATCATTGGCATACATGGGCCCACCCGTCTCCATTGGAAATAATATGTGTCCCGGCCCATCTGTCATCATCGAGAATATACACAACATGGGCCCATAATCCGCTGGCCCGTCTCATACGGGATATTATGTAGGTCGGGTGGCCCGTATAATACGGAATTTGTCACTGAAGGGGCTCGCGCTTTCAGGTCGTCCAGCAGGGCGTAGATTGACATTACAAAATCCACACCCGCGACATGTCGGAGCGACGAGATCAATGTTTGAATGTCATCTTCGGATAGAGATGGCAGGGTGTATGGTGGTGCTTTGTATGAAGTAATGTCGGCTGGCAGACAGCTATTGAACTCAGATGATTGCCCCACCCAGTCCAGGGCACTGATGTCGCCCGACTGAGCTACTACCTCCTGTAAAAGCCTCCCAAGCGCCTTTTGCCTTTTCTCTCCATAAATGACAGGTAGGTTGACGCCGAAGATACCAAACAATGAATATGCAATGTCTTCCTGCCACGTGGTGACACGAGCCGATACCCATTGGAGTTTCACCCGGGCGTCTCTCATCCCCGGACGGAAGGGAACGAGGGACCGTGCATCTATGCCCGTGGCACGTCCCATCTCCTGCATGATCGCAAGTGAATCCTTGTGGTTTGGAGAACGATCGTCGAGATATAGGGACCAGTCTTTCTGATAAAACAGGACAAATTTTGGGGCCAAGAATTCTTGAACCGTCCATCCTCGTGTGTTCCAAGCGCTACTTGTGAGTGCTCCAGGCTGCAATGAAGGTGAAACATCCGACAGGTATGTGATAGTAAGTGCTGAGTGGCGATACCAGATGAACATAGAATTGACCGATTGTTGGACCTCGACGTTGTTACGCCGAATGTGCAAAACTACCCTTCCACGATCCCTGGGTTTGTATTCACACGAATGCAACACTATGGCCTCCAGGGGTGCGACACATATCAACCATAGGAAAGATTGCGTCAATGATCGCAGAACCAGACTGATGGTTCTCATGTTGCAGATTGAGTAAGATACGGGAGGCTAGCACTCCATGGATCACGAGTTGTGGTCTGAGAGAAGTCAGCAGAAGAATATGAGAGATAAAGGAATGCACTGACGCATCCAGGATGTCGGCGTACGTGCCCTACATATTGAGCACTTTTGTAAGTCCTATGGGCCCAAATGCCTACTAGTAAAACCTCACAGGAGCAACCAGGGCGATAAGAATATTTGCGAAGGATGCCACTGAAGGACACTTGTTAGACCTGCATGAGTGCATAAACAAGAAGACGTACTTATGATGCAGGTCATGTATATCATCCCATCGCGATAAAGTATGGTGGCGAGGCGACCTCGAGCATCTTTGTAGAAGTTGAATCTCTTGTATATCGTAAGGATCATGAGTGCTGTGACACCTCAGGTAAACAGCCCCGGTATTTAGTAGTATCAACTTGAGTTACCTAGCTCATAAATGATCAAAAAACCATATTGTATGGCGTCATCCTTTCCATTTTCAAATATGCAGCCTGTCTGGTCGACTGCTATGATGAGTCAGCAAAAGTGTTCAGTCAATATCATAAAACGCAGATACGTGGAGTCTGAGGACCAGCGATATGGAGGATGCCTGCGACTCTTGTCACTCCAACAGCCCCTAGAATGGAAAACTGTCCAAATACAAATATGAGTGACCGGTGGATCATCAAGTTGGCACTCACCGCAGCAACAACGAGAAGCCACACCAACGTTTTCTTGTTCTGATGCCAAAAGGCCCATGTGCGAAAAATAAGCAGGCCTGCAAAGTAGATGATAAGCACACTAGTACTAGTTCAAAACGACAAAAGCGCCAGCAGGCCGACCTTCTGCAGCAATAATGCTTATCAGATGTGAACCTTAATGAGTGTTCAATGTCCATGCTAGAGTCGTGTCTGTCCCAGCGCTGCTTACCATATGAAACATTGTCGAAAGTCGCACACTGAAGAAACAGTCAGTGAGAGTCTAATTCAAATCACGAGTTCACGAACACTTGTGTACTTAGACTGGTCAGTCACCGCAGCTTAAACCTCATCAAGGTGTGACACATGATGCAAGGACTCGCGACTTACCATACGTGGTCATAGCAGTACCCATCAAGGTAGCATAACGAGTGAGAGTAAACAAAACTCTAATGATGCCCCAATTCTTTCCCCAGATCAACTGGACCTGCGGGCCAATTTAGCGTGCATCGGACTCAAATGGGGTCACAAACCTCTTGTGGAAGCATCAAACAATAGTCAAAGACCTAGGTTCAAAGATGTGCAGAGAGTTGTGGATGACCGCAGTTCAGACACTCACCACTGCTGCCATCGCTGCAACTATCTCTATCGTCAGACGGGCAATGTGAGTGCTAGTAGCGAAGTGCGTACCTGTGAAATACTATTGATGCGCAAAGACATTGAAACACGAGTATTTGTACTATGGGCCGGAAAACGAAAATTCACCTGCGCGGTCTGAAAACCTACAGTCATAGCTGACATGGTGAAGACGATGAAAATGTCCTTGATGTGCTAACTTTCACCTGTACGGTATTTAACACGGTCTGTTACAGCCCCGAATCCAGCACCGGGTCTGGTCGATGCAACAGGTATCGATCCATGTCCAGTGATACCCCATATCACGAGCAGTTTTACAGAATGACTGCAACTTCGGGATCCCGCCGACTGGATCCAAGTCGTACACCACCTTGTTCTGGATGTCATGCAGCGATGGCTCCGCCCCTTCCCACCTATGCGATAGCATGACATAAGTACATCGCCACCACATCTCGAATGCGCTCCGTGTGAAGGTCTGCATGTTTCATTGTGGATGACAAAAGCTCTTTGTACTTTGCGCTCATTCTAAAGGCATTAATCTGTACCTCGCGATTGCACAAGCGACCAGTGGAGGTATTGATTAGACGATGTGGGGCGTCGTCGAGCTGAACTTTAATCCTGTCTTCAATATTCGGATGGACTAGCATACTGTCAACGCAAGTCTGGACAAGGAGTCAACCATGTTTGATGGATGTACTATTTTGGACGTACTTGTCGCTTCCGTGTCTGTAGCATCTTCCAACTTGGAGAGCATGATTTTGAACGCCTCGATGGCTTCGTCGTATTGATGTGCGCCATGAAGTACCTCATGCTTCAACTGATATCCAAAGTAAGATGAAGGATTGAGTTCGATAACTTACGCATCACAAAAATGAGCGGCGAATACGAAACAGTAGCTGTCATCGCACCTTTTCCGCGTCAAGGAGCACATCGTCCCATGGCATTTTTCCCAACCTCGCTTTACTGCGGTTTGCAAAGATTGTATCAATTGCCAAATCAAGGTGGATCGTTGCAGAGTAAAGCTCGATAGCCCTGTCGTAATTACCCGCAGCGAGGGCATCATCTCCAACGGCAGCAAGGTCAGTTGCTCCGGTAGTAGGATAGAGCATGCTGCAATGTTGTTTGAAAGCTAAGTGACATGAGGTTGAGAATTATACCCGATCGACTCATCCTGAAAACTTGCCAGTGGACCAATCAATGCAGCGTGCTTTCATAGCCTCATCGGCCCTATCCATCATGTATCGATATGCTTCAATGGCTTCTGGAAGTCGTCCTGCCCGAAGGAGCACATTGCACCGATTCTGATGTGCAGTTTGCCACAAGGACTTGAGGTCCCACCCGAATAACTAGAAAAAGCACAATCGGGCGTGAAAAATGTTGAGTTACATTGCAATCAACCTACCACCACGAAGACATCATATCTAGAATGGATGGCCGACATGGACGAGAAACCGATGGTGTTCATGGCAGCAGTGAAGTGGTTAGCTGCTTCGTTGTGACGTGCGTCAGCTAATGCATTCATTCCCAATTGCACGTGTAGATAAGCCTGAAGTGCGAGGTTCGCAAAATCAGCATCGACGCACGAATCTAGAATTGACTGTGTCAGGAGCACTTACTTCCACGATGCCACAGGCAAGAGAATTTGGATTGGGACGAGTAGTGGCTAGCTCTTGAACCCGCAGAATTGCCTCGTCACGTTGATTTGCATTGAAAAGGGCGATGGCCTGACAGCTGTTGTGTAAGTAGCAAGCACGTGGGACACAATGAACGAACATACCTTGATCAAGAGTAGGAGATGAGTTTTATTTAAGTCTGCATCCACGTACATGAACACGATGTAGAGACTCATGCCTCTCATGGTGTGATATGGCACTTTTCACTAGGGAGTTCATTGCACGAACTTGCAGCACCATTCTGTGTGCTATCTGCAGCTATCCCTATATGAGGCGCAGCTTTCCCGCACAATGCGCGCCATGCGCGCACCATTCCCGCGCCTTACGATGTATACGCGCTTGATCGCCCTATAGCGCCAGCCTTCCGGAAGCATCCATCCACTGTCCGCCAAGCTCTCTAGTGCGTGTATTTCCATTTCCCTTATTTACATATCATCCCACCTTTATTTATATCATGGACCCTTACTTACATATAGCTTTACATACCTTACTCAGTAGCGCTTCGGCTCCGCGTGACAGCGCTTAGGCGCCATATATAAGCGCCAGCATTACATACTATTAAAAACTTTCGAACTTAGGACTTGACCTCCCACCACCCACATACTACCTAGGAGAACATAGTAGGAATCTATTCTTTGACACCTCGCGCTCGTATCTCTTGTCTAGTATCTAATCACCACTTAAGCAAACTCACTCTTACTCTCACTCATTACCGCTCACGTGCGCGCGCGCTTCCCGCGCCTCGCGCATACCTGCACGCATTCTCGTGCTTCGCATCAGCCGACCAGTAGCGCCTTCGGCACGCACTACTAGATCCTTGCTGCACTTGCTTCCCCTTTAGGGTCGAACACACTTGTTGTCTCAAGTATAGCAGATTAGGCAACGCGCGACCTTACAACATTTACAGATACAGTCAGGAGCTTCATTAGTTCCTCTCTGTATTGTTGTTTTACAGCGATATCAAACACTTTCATCGCATCTTCAAATTGTCGTTTTCCACAGAGGACGATGCCCTTGGAGATACAGCCCATCAAGGATGGCTGAATACTGATGCTCTATATCACCATATGTAAGTCAGTCTGCATCACAAAGGTCACGACGGAACGGTGCGACTCACCTTCAGTGCATCATCAAGTGCTCGGTCCCAGTCTGAATTTCTTGCCTTGACAAATGAGCGATTCACATATGAATTGTAGTCTTTAGCATCAGCGTTGATCTCTTGGGTAAGTAGCCGGTCAGCAGAAGGCAAGTCCCCAGTTACGCATGCACTGCGAGCTGTCGTGTTGATGGCGAGGATCTGAATCACGCATGGTTAGATTGCGTGGTAAGAATGAAGGCCAGAAACAAGCCTCGCAATCAGACTGTTGAGCCTTGGAATCAAGATTGAGGATAAGTTAGACTCGTGACGGTCCAGTCTGACTTGTGCAGTCAACGCTGTACAAATGTTACTCGGAATATTCCGCAAGTTCCAAGTTATTTTTCCGGACGTTGTTCGAACGTTCAGAACATACCAGATCTTGTATTACTTATATAGAAATTTGTTGAGCTTTGTTCCAGCTTCGTCTGATGGTGGGTTTGGGTGGAACTAGAGAGGTTTGGCTACCAGACGAGCGCGAGATTCGGAGGTAAACAACTTGTTAATGTGGGACAACACGGGGAAGGGAGCTTGGGCTACATACACACCTAGTACTATTACTTGTGCTTAGTAGTTGTTAGGAAACAATACTGAGGTGTTGACATGGGACACGACGATATGAATGATAACACTCAGTTAGCTAATTGATACCAGAGGAGCAATGATTCACATGCGTCATATGGAATGAATAACTAGTAAGTCGTAAGGATAAAAGCTAGGAGATCTCTGCGAGTCTCGCCAAAGTGTGTTCTTTGTAATCTTCCCAACGGGCTAAAAACACTGGGTCGCTAGAGATGCTTTTAAGGTAGTTAAGTAGGTTGTTGTAGAACTCTTGATAACCTTCTGCCGTAAATTCAATATGAGTAAATTGATCAGTCTGGAGTTCATTCAAGGCGCATCTGACAGCAGCGGCAGCCAAGCAAAATAAACTATCCAGATTGACAAGGTGGCGGCGGAGTTTGAGTTCCACGACAATGTCCAGGACGACATGCAACACCACCTCATCTTCGAGGAAGTGTAAGTTACCGAACTCATCCTCACCAAAGGTAAATCTCAGTGGGAACGTCCCTTTGCTGAGAAGTCCCTCGATCTTGTTTATCCGAAACTGGTGTTCGTTGACCCTTGACCGTATTCCAGGACGTAGATGGTACAATATCACCTTGGAGCGTGCGATCCTCTTGCACGTTTGCATCAGACTTTTGCAGGGATCAGAGAGTACCATATAGAGCGTCGTCGAATTGCCGAGAGCCCATAGTATATGCCGGCTCACCTGGATGACGATATTGTTTTGTAGCCGACTCCTCCAACCTCGTTTCAACCCAATGTCTTCTGTCCAAATGGGATGACAGGGACTGCGTATTAATCAAATGTGTCTTGATAGCTTTTGTGGCGGACGAGACAATTTTCTTGTGTGCCAAGTTCGCTGGGTTGTATGAAAGCTCTGAGATATCGGGGAAAGATACGGCCGGAGCAGCGACGGGCTGGGAGGGAACTGTGATTGACTGCGAATTGAGGGGTGCAGACGTAGGGTGTGAGACGATGGACTGGGAAGGAACCGTGAGTGGCTGCGAATCGAAGGGTGCAGACAGAGGTTGTGAAACGACAGATTGGGAAGGAACCATGAATGGCTGTGAATTGAGGGGTGCAGACAGATGGTATGAAACGACGGACTGGGAGGAAACTGTGGAGGGTATCGAGTCCAGTGATGCAGAAGGAGGATGCGAAACAACAGACTGGGAGGGAACCGTGGATGGCCCCGCTTGCGGGGGTGCAAATGGATGGGGTGAAGTGACAAGCTGGGGCCAAGAGGGAACCGCGAATTTCTCAGTATCTGCTAAGAGCATGGTCAGTGCGTTTGTTGTCAATCTCTGAGAGCATATCAGCGGTCAGCGATGCACCACATGTAGATTACGTACCCTGAGATTAATCCTCTTCCGTGGCAGCCGATTGTTGTACTCTGTCTGCGGATTGTCGCCGCGGTCCTTGCGCTTCCTACTGGACATTTGACCCAAAGTACCCTCGACTCCAAAGATACGCTCTTGACGTGGTTCGTCGCGATATTCGGGACCAACTGGTAATAGTATATCATTGTCCATGGACGGAACTGCCTGGCTGAAGTCCGGAAAGAAGGAGCCGAGAGGCTGCCTCTCGTTGAGGATTGGATCATACGCGGGCGATGCCAAGTAACCGGGCGCCTCTGGGCCGTAGTTAGACCATAGCTGTTGGTAAACGTCATAATGAAGATTTTTGACGTTGACGTTGATGTTGGCGAGAGACTGCTGCGGCTGGAAGCTAGAGCCGCTGGAAAACGGTAGCTGTGGGGGGATGTCATACTGGCGATTGTTGGCGTCGACAAGTGACTGCTGCGGTTGGAAGTCAAAGCTGCTGGAAGACGGTAGCTGTGGGGGGATATCATGCTGGCGATCGTTGGCGTTGACGAGCGACTGCTGTGACTGGAGACCGGAGCCGCTGGCAGACGCATTGGACTCAGAAGGTGGCGCAAAACCACGCCATGGCCACACGGGCACAGGCATCCGTATGTCTGATGCATATGGATTGGCAGCGACAGGGGAGGCAAAATTAAACCCATAGTAATCGTCGTCGTTTGGGGGTAGCTGTGCCCCAAACTCGAAGGGGCGCATTAGCGCGGCGACAGGTCGTCCTCAACTGTTAGTAGATTGAGATTGAAAATCTGTACAGTACCTTGAATCCGACTCCGACCAAGTCAGACCAATCCACAGATTTCCACAATAGGAAACATTCATTTGACGACACGAGGGGACTGAATAGCATCTGCAACGAGGAGTATGTAGTCATGAGGCATAATCAATGTGCAATACATCATTACCAAAATAGGCCAAAGAGCAAACCACATGCATTCATACTTAGTCACATTGGTATCTGAGTACATAATATTTGCGCATTCAATCCAGGTCTGCAATAAAATTTTCAGGCCCTTGCCAAATATGGGTAACAACTTCTAGCATGCGCCTAATAAGGTAGGCCTCATGGTTTATTTGGCCGCCGCAAGTACCTCTGACCGTACAGCGTCACATGACCAAGCGGTCATCTTCAATTGCGTAAGTTAAAATAACGGCGGTTAACCGCCAGTCCCCACCCGGCTGTATCAGTGCCCCCTGCACATGTCTCGCCTCGTATCTACTACTCAGGCTCAGGACTTCAGTCGTCCTGAGAGCAAACTAGATACATTTAAATAACTATTTTTTTTAACATAAGGCACAACAGTTGGTTCATCATGAAACAGATGTGGGGTGTGAAGAACCAACTACGTGACCATCGCCAATTAGTCTCCTGGGCCGACTATTTTACCCCAGCGTTTTTGTAGAAGAGAAATATTTTATGCAAGTCACCGAGCATCCAAGAGTAAATACGGAAGACGTGTGGTATAGGTATCTAGGGGAAGCGGTGCACATCCTTTAATCAAATCTCCTGCGTCTGTAACAAACATTCCGAGGTTTCTTTGGCATTGTGATCATGGTCTATGGAAGGATTGTTAACAATACTTGAGAGTGACGATGAACTGAATGGACGAACATGATAGTTGTGTTCTGGGATCTCTGTGATGCCATCCTCTAACCGAAGCTCAACTTTGTGGGTGATGTTGGAAATCACGGTTCCAAGTTGCAGGTATGCGAACTATTGAAAAAATCAGCCAAATACACCTCAGCAAGCAGATAATCAAGCCCACCTGCTCGCCAATGCATCTATGCCTCCCGGCACCGAAGGGTTGGTATGGGCTCTCAGTTCCCTTGCTTACAGCACCGAAACCATAATCAATCTTCTCGCCATTCTCGTCAGAGTAAGTCTTGAAAGCCTGAGCAGCAACGCCCTGGGGATCACTCCATCGTGTTGGGTCCCACTTTGTAGGGTTAACCCAGATAAGGGGTCAACCTGGCTGACGGCAGCAGAAGCAAGCACATAGTGGCCCTTTGGAACAACATAAACACTATCTTTGGAGGGGGCAGCGAGAGTCGAGGGAACTGGGACATCGGAACGAACGTAGCGCATGGTGCTGAGAATAGGCGGGTGCATGCGAAGTGTCTCATGAATGGCGGGATCAAGGACTGGAAGCTTGCGGAAGCCCTCATATGTCATCGGACGGAAAGAGCCATCCAGGTTGCCGAAATGGTCGACTTGCTCCTGGTAAAGTGCTTCCCTATCATGACGATCAGTATATCTCAGCTGCCAATAATGAACAAGACTCACTGGACTTCGACGTTCTGAGCAAGGTGAAGAAGGGTCCATGAACTGGAGGCAGAGCTAGTGTGCTGTCCTGCCATGAGAAGGGCAATCATGATGTGCGCGATTTCGTGGTCACGAAGAGGTCTGCCATCACGGTATTTTTATCCATCAAGGCGGAGATCATGTCAGGTTCGTCCTATAGCATGCATCATGAATATTGGTTAGACCACATCAAAACAAACGCCTTACAGAGTGCCCTGATTTTCTGCATTTGCGGATAATGTTGGTGTAATATTCACTCATCTTCTTGTGGGCTTCGTCCAGGAAACATGAGATTCAGCGGGGTGAAGCCTCCATCCAGGTCGTTGGAAAGTGCAGAAAACGATTTGTCCAGACCACTCCTGACCTCCTTGCCTTGCAGAGTACGACTGGCAGTCAAAATAGTGATTTGAGCCATGATGTCCGTCACATCGAAGCATCCTCATTCATTGATATCATCCATTTGCCAGATGATGAATGCTCGGTCGGTGCGCATGTAGTCGTCGACTTCTTGCTCGAACATGCCCACGTACGCCCAGAAGTTCTCAGTTGAGAGGCCGACTTTAACAAACTTCTTTTGCTCCATGAATACTTCATTGGGGACATTGTATACGACATCTTTACCAAAGATGGGGGACGTGAGGTGCTGTTTGTGGTTGAGTGGCATTCACGAAACTACAACAATCGCATGTACAGTGTAAGCATCTTCTGCAGAGAACGCAGTTGATTTACCACCCAAAACAAAGTTGTTGCCCTTAACACCGAGTGCAATGGTCACCTTGCGTCCAAGTAGAGTGAATGTGAAGACATCACCGTACTAAAGAAAAGCATGAGACAAAATCATGACATGAGAGATGTGACACGACAGTACTTTTTCCCTGCACTCAAATAAAAAATTGAGTGGGTCATCGCTGTACGCGATGAAAGACCCAATGAAAGGGATCCAGTGGAACACTTCTGGAGGTAGTGAAGGATCTTGGGGAACAACCTGGCGACATTGCATCAGTAAACACGCAACCTGGAGTTGCTACATGCTCACCAGCTGCTTGAGGATGTTCAGCACGAAGATGATTATTGGTGTATAGATGACTCCCAGTAGAGCTGTTCTACCAGGAGAGGCGGTGACATACTGCTGCACAGCATCAACAACGGATGCAATGTAGCCCACAGTTGGGACGGTCTAATCAAACGACATGAAAAAACAAAGTCAAGATGCAAAGCAATGTAAATGCTCCCGCACTGTCCAAGGAGCACTGGCAGGGTCTCACAAACACGACTGACTTGCGCACGTTTTTATCTTCCCAGAATAGGTTGTCGAACCACGGTTCTTGATCGGCGTAGGTATCGGATATGATTTTATTGGGACATTGGGCCGGATGTCTGTAAGCAGTTAGCCGGCACGACAATGCATGAAAGGATATGGAAGAAAATGCACTTGTGGCTGTGCAAAAAGTTAAGATCGAAAATGAAGTGGTCAGTCAGATGATCAAGAGCGTTCAGTACAACCGTCGTAATAGAGCCACCTTGCTCCGTCGTTTAGATGTTTTCAAATGGCGAGTGAGTATGAAAGAGCGAAGAGCGTGCATCCGAGTGACTGTGAAGGGTTAGCGAATGCGTAAACGGCCACAAGAATACCTACCCACATGTCAACTTTCTCGTCAAGAGTGACGCCTGTTTTCACATCGAAAAGTTCGGGAGCGCGGTATGCCATGGTGCTTTGTTCCGCGGCAATATCCTGTGAGATGAATGTAAGATCAAATAGAGATAAATATATACCTGCATATACCTGCTGTAGTAGCGCGCACGGCTTCGCATGTCCCCTTGAACAGCCAAATCATATCTTGCTCGGGAAAGTGCTTCCCATTCACTACATTGAGGTTGATAGCGTCTTGAAGGTTCCCACGCTTTATCCCAAAAGGTCTACGGGTGTTCCATAGTAAAGCACGCCTAGAACATACCTGATACAACGGCAGGAAGAGGTAGACAATCTTGCCTTCACCTTCGGGATCTTGAACGACAGCAGAGTCCTGTACAGTTATTCAGGAGCTACATGAAGACGATTCGTTGTCACTCACAAGTATCCGGATGATGTTTCGATGTCTGAGAGCATACTTCAGTGACTTGTCACTGCGGTTCAAACTTCACTGTGTATTAAAGCCACAGGCGTCCGGTCTAAAAGGCAATTAGTATGTAATTGAAGCACTTCTTTGAAAGTTTATTTTCAAGTTCAAGTGAGTACCTGTGCAAGTATGAATAAGGGGGAGGGGGGCAAGACATTTTGCAGTAAAACTCAAGCTAGTAGCCGGCAACGATGATGGCAACCACGAACCACTCAATAAGGCAATAAAAACCCACAAACTTTTTGACAGAGACGGGTATGTTTCTAACCTACAGAACCCTCCTTTGGGAGTCGGGGACATACATGTGACATCGCTGATAAATAAAATAATTGTATTCATGTGGCGCCTACCCAATCATGAGGCGCGAAAATCTGACAATGATCCTCCACTTGTGTCCCTGTTTAGCTTTTACAGCGTGTTTCGCTTATTACAATAAACGACAAGCGGTGACGCTGTAAAGTAGTAGGAACCAACCAACTGATATGGATGTTGAACATGTTGAGTATAATGCAGGTAGTTGTGCACGTCTGGAAAGGTGTTAATGAGGTGCTTTTTATTTATAGAAGCGAACACTGACTTGTCATCAAGGCAGTCTCAGGCAGCGTCCAAATTGTTGTTTGAATCATCATCACGTGAACTTGCCATCTGCCTCTGCACGATACGATCTTTCAAAAGGTCAAGCTGAGTGTCAGTCTTGCGGAGATGTTTCTTGTTCTGGTCGCTGAGCGTAGCGAGAGATTGGGCATCTATGTCAGTAGATGGTGGATGCTTCTCAAGAAGTCTTCTCATTAACACTGAGGCTTCTCGCTCTGCTCTGGCAAAGTCTTCTTGAGCTGCCTGGAGCATGAACTGGCGGAGATTATCGAGCCTTTTGCTCTCCTCTCGTGCCCAGTATGCCACAAAGAGGTCCAAGCGCTGGCGCTCACGGACGGCCTCCTTGTAGTGAACAATAAGGCGGAAAGATTGGGGTCCAAGCACATCCATATGCTTCAAAAACCCATCATCAGTCTGACAGTGTGATGCATATAATGAGTTATGTATATTTTCCAAAAAAAGGGGACCCACCTTGCCCTTCATATCCTCCAATGAATTGTCAGAGTCAGAGCTGCCCAACATACACTCAAAGGCACGCCGATCTTGAAAAGATGGTGCCCAGCGATATGGATGGAAGGAATAATTATAACTGTCAACGTGATGCTGTTTATGGTACCGACTTATAGTTGATGGTCCAGCTCTGCGTGAGATATCGGCGACATAGCGTGTGTCGCCTGAGCGCTTAGAATCAGGTGTCAAAGGGAAGGAATCGTCGTCCGATTCCGAGACTGTGCTCGCCGCTGTTACGGACTAGGATAGGTCGAGCTCTCCCTAGGCGGATTGCCTAATCTGATAGCGGGCTCGCTACTGGAGAGACGGGGATCTTCTCTCGAATGAGAGGTTCGGGGGTTCCACTTAAGGTAGCGTCGGCTTTCCTTAAGGTGCGGCTTAGACTGAGTGATTGGGATGGTCACACAGAGGAAGTTCTGATGAAAACCTAGTAGAATCAAGTAGGGAATATACATGATTCTGTCTGCTCTATATACTGTCGTCCGTGTGCACAGACCAATACTACGTTCGGTAGGTAGGTATGAGTGTGTCTATACAAGGGCATCTTATCTGATGCCATGCGGGCGATTATCTATGCATGAGGCTTACCATGCCTCTTCTATCTGTCCTCAAGGCGAAGCATGCCTTGGAGTCTAACTGCGCATGCTGCGGCATGCGGCTTCTCTTCTGACCATGAGGCAGAGTTTCCTCATGATCCGGGTTGAGGACCATCTAGGTCCGTCCAGATGTTGCCTAGGCTGGTCTAGGTCATCTAACGGCATCCAGGCCATTCTAGGCGTCTCTACGAGTCTCCGTTGAGTCGGTAAGTCTTCCAAAGACGGTGTATAAGCGGGATAGGGGCTAAGGTCATGATGACCTCCGTAGGAGGGGTTCTCGGTTACATGTTATTGTAACAGCCGCTGTGATTGGTTCATGAGTCAATCTGTATCATAATATCATCAAGTTATCCATACCTGATCCTCCAGGAGAGATAGAAGGAGTGCTTGGAGGAGAACCTACGTGGCTAGAAGTATGACTGGGGGTGAAAGGGTGTTGGAGAGGTGTGGACGGTTTGAAACAAGGAACTTTAATGCATGTAGTGGCACATAAGCTCATTTTCAGTACGTGGGGTGCTAGGAGTAGGGCACGACAAGTGAGTGCATAAGCGGTAAATACCCATCGGACTTTCAAAAACACTTCGCTGGAGAATTTTATTGACTCAGATTTTCTGTGCATGAGAGTACTTACTTAGGGCAGGAATCCCAGGAATATTAATATTGAATATTGAGGGCTAGCTATAACCAATTTTGGTATTGCGGACATTCAAAGGGCCCCGTGTCTGATTGAATTGCATAATGTTGTTGTCCAATGGCGAGGTCGGCATTCCTGATTCTGAATTCAGGCCAGGCTGGCAGACTGCAGTTGGTGCGCCCTTTAGAATTACCCAGGTTCCGATCTGAGGAGGATGATCATTATGTGATGGCACAGATCGTCTGCTGTACTGCTAGTGATTCATGACACTCTGTAAGCAAGTTGGTGTACCGGTAACTATGTAGCAGTATGTGACTTGATTGAACGCTAGAACGCGCAAGGTAATAACAGTGGTTTGCACATTTTGCAACCAGCTAGAACTCCGATTGCCAAAAATGGTCCAGCGTATCTCAGGCCGCAGGGTAACTTCATGCAATATCCAAATACCAAAAATGGTACTAGTAACCGCTCACTCATTAGTACGTGTGGTACGCGTGGCCTACAAGTACTAGTACTAGCCGCTTTGCGTACCAAGTGGTATTTCTTTTTAGCTGTCTGAATCCTACTTGACTCAGTGTGGTATGACTATGGCGTTATGTCTCACTCAGTGCTATGAATCATTAGATTTTTTCAATAGAGGTAGTAACAATTTGGCATACAGTGATAATCGCGTCGGTTGTGTACTTCTCCTTGCCAATTAGACCCCGATCACAGGCTCTACTGCACATGTGCGTCTCACTTGATATAGTATCAGACTTGCACACTCTGATCTACCCGAAAATAGTGCATCACAGAATTAAAAAAAGCTGGTATAAGAACTCACCGGGGCTAGCTTTGAGTTTTCGGATCAACAACTAAAACCCACCAAACACAGGCCTGACTCACTTTAAGATGGAAAACTCGGATATAACTTTCAGTCATTATTCCAATCCTACTACTCACACCGCCATGCGGGGCGCTACTGACCCGGACATGTCGCATAAATTTAAGTCACCTGTGTCGACTGCTCTTCAACACGCCAATCAGGAGAAGGAGACTTACCGTGACACATCTCCCATCCTCAATGGCGTCGGGGGTGTTGCACAGACTCAGAGTGGCTTGCAGTTGGCGAGAGTCGTCGGTAAGCACAAACCATATACCGCAGAGCAGAACCACAAGATTGAAGTCTGGAAAGATGTTGACAGAGCCGCAATGAAGAACTTGAAGAAAGAACACTCATCGAGTATATTACATGCCACCGAGACTGCTATCGTGGAGCCCACTATGGCTCGCCAGAATTACAAAAGGAAGATCGACGATGTTCAAGATCACGACACCGTCAAGGACTCGGACGTATATCAGAATTTTGCTCCAGTTGTGAAGCGCATCTGCCAGGAAAAAACAGGCACCGACTGGCAGACAGTTCTCGATGTAATTAAATATGGTGAAGAACGAGAAAAGTTGGCTGAAGAACGGATGGCGAAGAAGAGTTGAACAGTGGTATTGGGCCGACGTTGGACGCTGCACAATTTCATAGTACATGACTCAGAGCTTTTGCTATTTGAAAGGAGAAACATACCTTTCAGCTTCGAGTCGTTAGTCAGTGTGTCCGCTAGACATTGCTGCGAGTCGGGCGCGGTGGGCTCAAATCACACAAATTCACAAGGTGCGGGTGATTAAGACACGATATGAATGATTTATTTGAAAGATTAGTATACAATCAGAGTAGACTGCAGGCAACTTGGATGAACGCTGGACCTGTTGAATTATTGGATGAAAGATTGTTAGACACGGTCATAGCACCATAAATGTAGTAAACTCACAAAGTCTTACTTGCCACCTGATCGGTCTTAGTGTTCGTGTGGTCGACATTCGCCTTTGAGTAATCCGACACACGCTGTTCGAGGAAGTTAGTCCTCCCCTGTAGCGAGATCATGTCCATGAAGTCGAATGTGTTTGTGGCATTGCACTGCGCGCACCTTATCATTGCCTAGCAATACCAACAAACAGTCTGCGACAAACTCGATGTACCAGCACATGAGCTTGGCATTCATGCCAATAAGGCCAACAGAGAAAGCATCTAGAGAGATGGTCAGCATAAGATGGCATAATGAGGAGCAAGCAAAATCAGTGTGCATACCCTCATCACAACTGATGAGCTCGTTGGAGAACGTAAGACCAGGTATGAGACCGCACTTCCTGAGCCGAAAGACGGGCACACGAAAGAATCCAAGGAGAAGATATTCGTACTGGGCAGAATCCTTGATATAGGTGTTGATGAGCGTATAAACAGACTTACTAAGATTGACTCGGCTTAGGAATACTTTGGGAGGAGTTGCTGGCGTCCATTGATGACTAAGTAACGTGTACCTTGTTTTCGGAAGCTTTTTGGAGCCAGAACAGTAATAGGGCACCTAGGTTCGTCGTTGGTAGGTCGGGCACGTGCTACCGTTACTAGTGACAGCGTTGTGTGTGCCATCAAGGAAAATGAAGATGAGTTAAATCTTGGGGGACGATACCAATGGTCTGTCATGTTCTCCTGTTGATAATACTTGCCCTCGGTCACCGGTAACTTCACCCGCAGCTCAGGTTCTAGTATGACTGTGACATGGCCGCATTGTTTTATCCGCTTTCCCCACGCGAATGACTGGCGAACGAGATTGGATAATGTTCGTAAGCTTGTTTTAATACATATTTCACAGATCACCTATTACATTCGCAGTTTCACAAAGGCCAGGCGGATGCACAAATATGGGTTGGCAAGTGCGTGAAGCGTGTTTCAATCTTCCAGTGAGTGTTGCACCCTGGATTGCAATTGTTCTCAACTGCTGACGTCTTTTCCAACTGAATTGAAGCGATGCTAGTAAGTGTGCTGTACCAGGCGTCGAGAACGAAGTGGTCTGGTCTCTGCTGGGGTGTTCCATTCGCCAGCCATCCTCGAGAGTCTGGGATTCAAGTTGGTGCCCAGGTGGTCCTCAAGCAGTGCGGTATCGAGCAACGTCACGGTGTACATTCAAGTTTACTGGGCGTCGGAGACTAAGTCCTTGCGTTACCGCCAAGGTTTTCTGTGGTATCCTATTTAGGTGAGGAGGTGACCCTGATCCTCAATGAACCGTCTATTTTGCAATGCTAATGATCTCCCTAAATAGGTATGTGTTCAAGCGACTTAATCGCTTGTGCTAGCGTGATTTACTGATATTCTTTTTAGGTAACTAGCACTGGTCTTGACCAACGTATAAAACGCGAGCTGGCCCAGGTTAGCTTCATTCCTCATTCGCACTTTATCTTATCCCTCAGGTTTGACCGGTTTATTCTTTCTCTAGCCAATTTGAGCTCCTGCCGCTATGTCACATGTCGAGGACCAGCAAAACGAGGGCAACACCTTCGAGTCGCACGTCGATGGCGATGGCGAAGGCGAAGGCAGCACCTCGCACATCAAGAACCGGCTGGACGGAGGTAATGTTCAGCCGCAACAATCTCAAGCAGTAGCAGCACATGTGCAAGCTCTGCAGCGACGGAAAATTGCTCAACTGGAGGAGAAGCTGGAGGCCCTACAGTCGGGGCGCGCAGTCAAGGAAAGGTGCGGCCGCTATCGTACGTATTGGGTTGCATTGCTTACTATATATGTTAGGCAAACAATCTGGTATGTCACTAAAGGAAGAGCGATCAGGCGTGTTGTCACCCTGTTCGACAGTATCGAGGACCTCGTCGCTGAAAACAACAGAAGATACGAGGATGATGACCCAGATACTACCATCGAGTAAGCGTTTTGCTCTATGTTCGTGCACACTACTCATCAGCACGGTTACGTAGACAGGATCGACTGCAAATAGGTTACGCCACACTAACCAGAACCTTGCCGTGGTTTTTCAAGAAGGGTTCAGAGATGGAGTACGAGGAGTACTCGCACATGTTGAAGATGGTTTGTTTAATGATATCGACTGTTTGTATTATAGCTGAGTCTTTGTCTAGCTTTGTCAGGGGGCTGATGGCGCTCGAGGAGATGACACCTCGAAACTGAAGACTCTTGTTTCGGAATGGGTCAATCGTGAATTCAAGCCGGTTTGCCTCGTCGACCCCGACGATAAACATTCCCGCAGATTCACTCATGATGTGTGTGGCAAGTTACTCTGTCCGGCCGAGCTTGATTGGAATAGCCCAGAGTAAGTTGATGTGCCCTCAGTATCCCGAGAGAGAACGCTCACCATTCACCAGAGTGAAGGCAGGAATCAGAAATCACTCAGATGGGTATATCATTACAGATCTATCCTTTCCCGCTTACTTGTATGACAAGTACACTATCAATCCGGACGACCTTGAGGAAGGTCTTTTCAAAGGCAAGATTCTCATTCAGGTTTGTTGCACTGAGGCAATTTGATAGCAAACTAACTTATGTTTCAGGGCTACAAGGCTGTGTTCACGTCTCCTTCCTCAGCAAAAGATGTTGACGGCGACGGCGACGGCGCAGATGTCATCAGCAACAACCGACGGGTCAAGAAGTCTCTATCCAGAATCAAGGTCAAAAAACATGTGGCACAGATCATCCAGATGGAAAAAGTCACTCCTCGTTCGATCACATATATCACATGCCAAGTAAGTTGTAATATTTGGTCAGATTTATTATACATCTTCACTACATACTGGCAGGTGCGATTCGCACTTTCTTCCGTTACCTCATGGCGGTCCATGGATGGCGACTTCGACTACGAACAGTTTTGGCGGACCATTGTGGACTTCTTCGAAAGGGCCCCTGGTCGAGAAGTGCATCGCAGGGTGGAAAAACTTCTCGAATGGTGGACCAGGTGCGTTATTTACCCTCCAATCTAAGCCGTTCAAGAACTCCATTTTCAGAAAAGTTTTCGGGAGGAACCGCCGAGGCAAACTTAGTGACGCAATGAAGGCCAACATGTCCGTCAATGCTCTCGCAAGGCAGAGAGAACAGCGTGATGATGCTGCGTTTGATTCACCTTAGACATGTAGCTCTGTGATCCGTATTAGATCTCTTATAGTGTTTGCTAATTAGTTTGTAATCAATTAAAATTGCTCCAAAATCTGCTCTAACGCGTGATAAAGCATACAAAGTGTCTCTAAAATCGACGCGTCAAGACTTCCTCCTGAAGTGTGAAAAGAAACGCACTGCGCTGATGCGTGACAAAGCATACAAAGTGTCTCTAAAATCGACGCGTCAAGACTTCCTCCTGAAGTGTGAAAAGAAACTCACTGCGCTGATGCGTGACAAAGCATACAAAGTGTCTCTAAAATCGACGCGTCAAGACTTCCTCCTGAAGCGTGAAAAGAAATGCACTGCGCTGATGCATGGTGGGACATATAATATGTTTCCTGAAGCGCGAAAATAAACGAACTGTGTTGATGCATGGCGAGACATATAAGGTACTTAACGGTAGTTGCTCTGTGCGTGACACATGAATCGTTATGAATAATCCCCGGGGCCTGATTCAAGCTCTAGTCGGGATCCGCTTGCCTGTATTTGCATTATAGAATTAAGTACTTTAATGACAATACATCAGAAGGAGGAGTAGAGATGCTTGACTTTACCAAACGTCAACAACGTTATGATATTGGGAAGCTGGATCGCCGAGCTCTCGAATCGACGCGGAAAAAACATCCTCCTGAAAGGCAAAAAGACATGCAGCGCGCTGATGTGTGGTGAAAGATATAAGACATCTCCAAAATACAAACATAAAGACTTACTCCTGAAATGCCAAAATCCACGCAGTACGTTGATGCGTGGCGAGACATATAAGTTGCTTGGTGGTACTTGCTCTGTGCGCGACACATGAATCGTTACGCATGAATTCCTAGTTCAATATAAAGTACCATCCTTAGAAATCAGAGCAGATACCGTCAAAATTCAGAGCAGTACATACTTTTATTTTCGCTCACTCGGTAAACACATCGTCGGTTTTCACAAGTATAATGCATCTGCTAGTCATTGGATAAACGTATAAGGTCGCGTAGGAACTCAAAGCAAGAGGTATATTGATTCTCACACGCTTGATGAACATGTTTCGCTACTAAGCAAAGGTAAAACTTATTCCCACACATCCCCAATCGATATATAGCGGACCATCATTTCAAAGCAGTACTTACATTAACATTCTCGCCCACCCCAGCGACAACATACCGACCCTCGCTCGCTGAGCAAATATCATCATTCTTCACAAGTAGAGTAACCGCCAGTCAGTGGGTGAACAACAACATATATTTATTCTCGCTCACCAAGCGACATACATTTATTCTCGGTAGTGATGTGCACGGCCCGGCTTCAGGCCGTGGGCCAGGCCAAGTGTTACAATAACATGTGACCGAGAACCCCTCCTACGGAGGTCATCATGACCTTAGCCCCTATCCCACCATATGCACCGTCTTGGAAGACTTACCGACTCAACGGAGACTCGTAGAGACGCCTAGAAACGGCCTGGATGCCGTTAGATGACCTAGACCAGCCTAGGCTACATCTGGACGGACCTAGATGGTCCTCGACCCGGATCATGGAGAAGCTCTGCTTCATGGTCAGAAGAGAAGCCGCATGCCGCAGCATGCGCAGTTAAACTACAAGGCATGTTTAGCCTTGAGGACAGATAGAAGAGGCATGGTAAGCCTCATGCATAGATAATCACCCGCATGGCATCAGATAAGATGCCCTTGTATAGACACACTCATACCTACCTACCGAACGTAGTATTGGTCTGTGCACACGGACGACAGTATATAGAGCAGACAGAATCATGTATATTCCCTACTTGATTCTACTAGGTTTTCATCAGAACTTCCTCTGTGTGATCATCCCAATCACTCAGTCTAAGCCGCACCTTAAGGAAAGCCGACGCTACCTTAAGTGGAACCCCCGAACCTCTCATTCGAGAGAAGATCCCCGTCTCTCCAATAGCGAGCCCGCTATCAGATTAGGCAATCCGCCTAGGGAGAGCTCGAACTATCCTAGTCCGTAACACCAAGCCGGGCCTGAATAGGCCAAGCCGAGCCGAGCCAAAGTCATGGCCTGGTGACGGCTTTGGCCTGGCCTGGGCTAATAAAAAGCCAAAGCCGCCGGCTCAGGCCGCGGCTTAGTCAACTGTGCCTGCAGCGCCCAAGCTCAAACTGTTTGACGATCGTCGATCGAAAATCTGACTTCTGTCTCATTTTAGCTTTTCAATCACTTACATTGTGTGCATGTTCATGTGGTAAGAATCACAGTGAGTCGCAGACATTCTTTTCAAGCTCGACACAACTCACTTGCCACAGTGTTAGCAGATAGCACACTCGTCATTTTCAGTACCTGTCAATTATGGCATCGTCAGTTTCAAGTGAGCGCGCGTTCTCACAGGGCGGTATCACTATCAGCAAGCGCCGAAACCGTCTCAAGGGTGACATTGTTGAGGCACTTCAATGCGTCAAATGCGCCCTCCGCCACGACGTACTCTTCCGTGAGCCTGGACCATCATCATCAACTGAGGAAGCTCTCGAGGACTTGGATATTGAGTCAGACACTAACGACTCCGAGAAGCTGAGTGATGCCGAGGATGAAGGTTGGGACGCTCTTCTGGAGGGAGATGAGGATCTCGTAGAATCAGACAGCGACTTCGTGTAAATAGTATGTCATCCTTGTCTGAACCATTTTTCTGTTTTCAGTGCTCGGGCCGCGGCTCAGGCCGAGCCAGGCCAAAGCCAAGCCGTCATTGACGGCTTTGGCCTGGCCCGCAGTTTTTCAAAGCCAAAGCCGTCTGAAGCCAGGCCGAAGCCGCGGCTTTCAGGCCAAGCCGGGCCGTGCACATCACTAATTCTCGGTTACTCGGTGAACAAGCCATTGTTCTCTGGAAGGTATCCACTTTCATTCTTGGCTTCAAAATTGACACACGCCTCAGGGAAATCAACCGTTCCAATAAGGAGTTGATAATAGCTGAAGCAGGACACAAATTTAGGCCCGCTCGCTCGATGAGCACATTCGCGTCGTATAGGAGATACAGGCGCTCGTTCTTACATGGAAGATTGGCATACACTAAACGACAGTCAACCATTTCAAGAAGGTGGTGTTAATAGTGGAAGCACGACACAAATTCCTCCAAGTTTGAGTGTGAGGGATACCAGGACCTTTTCCCAATCATAATCCTTTGTACTACAATCAGGAAATGTCCTTTCCTCTACAAGGTCAAATATAACAATGTGATACTCGATAGCAGAATTATGCTGGTTCTTGTGATTATGTGCTATATATCGTCATATATACCTTTCTAAAACCTTCACCGGTTCACTGATGTACCAGTAGTAGCACATCTGCATAGGCTCAGTAGTATCAGTCCTAAACTGAACGAGAAGGTCGATATTTGACTACAATATTGGAATATCACCTAAAGATGAAGATTATCACAACTGAAAGTGAAAAAAACAAGCGCGTACTAGTAGCACATTTCCGAGTCACCATCGTTTCTGCACGGAGACGCCCAAATCCCTTTTCGGCTCGGAGACAACGTATTTGTATATGTTTACGGGCTCAGCGCTCAGGTATTATTCATACGCATCATGATATAAGACACTTGCTGTATAGGGTGCGGCACGGATGCGGCAGTGATGCGGCAAAATCCTAAGGCCCCCTCTGGAGGATGGTGGTTTTTCCTGCATTCGCTCTTCCTATAATGAGGATTCGGAAGCGGTCGAAATTCTGTCTTATCTCTGAGGCATCCATGATGTATGGTGGACGATAGGTCGACCGGTCAAGCGCTGTGGCGCACAACAGTCTAAATCGGGTAGCATCTCAGTTTGAATTTTTGTGATGGATGTCGAGTGAGTGCAGCTCCTACTAGTACTTTTACTAGGTGTCAAGCTTCGCAGTCCGCGTCGCTACTCTCATACTTTTATGGGATCACAGCTCACCTTGAAGCCCTTGGATTCGGACCCATGCACCGGGCCAAAAAGTCCTATGGGCTTTTACCCAAACCTTCCTTTTCCTGCTTATTAGTATCCACCTCGAAGTTCCTGTATTTCCTTCCACCCACCGAATACACTCCGGTTTCGCTCTTGTCATCAAGGAGCCACCGCACATCGAAAGCATAGGCATCCGAATCAAGAGAGGGCACGGCGAGCGAATCCTTACTTGGCTGCGTCCGAATGGTGGATCCATCGATTTTCACCTAGTACATCCGGTCGTATGATAGTCCTCATCTCCCACCAAATTAATTCCTGCCAACCTCTCTCGTAGAGTCGCAGGCTGAGAATTGGAACATTAATGGTGTACCACCATTTAGTACTCGCCAGTACCGTACGTGCATGCCATCATCACTGTATCTTTTGTCCGAGATATATCTTTGCGTTTACAGATGGAACGTGCCTGAAGTCACTGGGACAGCCCTACATGCGGGGGTGATTCTTTGCCTTCAGTGCCCTGAAAAACCCCTCCAGGATGGTGGAGCTGCGATTTCAATGCTTTATCTCGCGCTTCAGGAGTAGTACAAGTGGGTTTTAACCTTTCTCTGATTGTGGTGTCGAATATGTTTCAATGCCATACGGCTCAGTGTAATGTACTATCTAGTGTTCACCCTACGTATAGGCCACTTGACTAGATGGTTGAAAAGTTGACGATTAGACGAACAAAGCACCAAATATAAACCTGCAGCAAGATCATTGGAGCATCGCGTTCAGGTAGAGGCTGCTGCTAAGCCAGACGCAGACGATGATCGTCGTAGAATATCCGAGTCCATCAGAAGTACGTGGGATCACCTGGAAATAATTAGTTGCATGAGCAGAAAGGAGATATCTACCATGCCGAGTTACCCATCCTCAAAGATGGGCGATCCAGGATGAGAGCGATACAAGAATTGAAAATCAATTATGAATGATATCTAATAACACACAAAGTACACCTCGCGATGATTGAGTTTCTGCCTTGCTATAGCACGATTTCAACACGCGCAACAACCGTCCACGATCTCAAAAGCCGCCACGTAGAGCAAGAACAAG